GGCCTGATAGCGACGGCGGCGACGTAGGCGAGACGGCGGCGAGGGTGGCGACGGTCACGATGTTAGATACGACGATGAAGCTGACGAAATGGATGACGCCATCGCGCAACAATGGACATATCCTCGATGTCGTCGTCCTTGCCGGAAGGGGCAGCGCACGCGCCTCTGAAGATCGAGGCGCGTGGCTCAAAGCCGGCGCTGCGCGGGGTTTCGTGCCCATCCGACATGGTCTACTTTTCCATTTTTTGGATGCCGTGGTCATGGGGGTCACTCACGACCCGCCGACGAGGTACCGTAGGCGGCGCGCAGCGCCGCTCTCGCAGGCTGATTTTGACGGTTCTACATTTTGTTTTTGTTTTCAGTCTAGGGGGCCCGACCCCCTCAGAGGCGGCGGGCGGGCGCCCACTGACCCAGAAATCAAAAAAACTCGGCCTCGACACTGGTCCCTCCATGTGCTCGTTGGCGGGCGCGACGGAGGGGCTGCCTCCATCGCGCGGCTGGTGTAACGTCCGACTTTTTGTTCCCTTCGAGGTTTGTTTTTTTGTGCTGCTGCCGGTCTCCGCCACGATGTTTGCTAGCGCCAGCCGAGGGCGACAGCGCGAGGCGAACTCTCTTCGTTGGTGTACCTGTGTTTTATGCTAGTGCTGTCGCGCCAGTGCCGTACCTCTAACTAAAACTTCTGCAATTCTTCTTCTGTGTTAGTGCCAGTGCGCGCCAGTCCCGTGCGAGCGAAAAATTTTTTCTTCTTTCCGCCGCTGTGCCTTTTGTGGTGCTAGTTCGTGCCAGTCTGCTGCTCGGGAGAATTCTTTCCGCCTGCAGCGCCCTTCTCACCCAGAGCGGCTGCGGACAGTCTGCCCTCTCGTTGCTTTGAGCGGCGCAGTGCCATGTTCTACCCATTCCCGCGACACCGTGCGCCGTCGGCACCGCCGATGGCGTCGCCCTGTGTGTACGCGCCAGCACCGCCGCCGCCGCCGCAGCCGCCGCCGCCGCCGCCGCCGCTTTGGGTTGCGCCGGCAACGGCCGGCGGCGGCGGCACCGCAGCAGCCGAGGAGCTGGAGCTGAGCGAGGAGCTGATCGCCTCGTTTGTACGGATGGAGGAGCGGCGGGGCCGTCGGCGCCAGCCGCACGGGTCGACGCCGCGCGAGCTGCCGCGCAAGATTGAGCTGCCGCAACAGGAGCACGAGGCGTCGCGGGCGGTGCTGCGGGAGCGGGCGCAGCTGCGTGACGCGCAGGAGGAGCGGTATGGCCCGCACACGCCCGCGGTGCGCGCGCTCGAGGCGGGCCTCAACGCCGCCTTTGACGCCATCTCGCACAAGGAGCTCCCGGCGC